GCCATTTATGATTTTTGGATGATAAAGAGGAAAATGATGAAAAAAAAGATTAATTTATTTTTAAAATTTTAACACTTTCATTTTTTTTTTTAGCAGAGGCGAGGTGAAATTTACATATTGGTATTGAAGATATATAGTAATATTAATATGAATTAAAAATATCTGTTATTGAAAATATAAATATTAATGAATTAAAACTTAGCTATAAATAAAATTCTTGTGTTTTTAATTTATTGAAGGAAAATTTATTTAACACAAAACTATAAAATAAGGTACCTTCGGGTGGTACAATTACAAATATCCTTAGTATGGTACTGAATTGAAATATGTTTAATAGATGAGAGACTAAAAGGAGTTTGAAGGCTTAGCGGTGATCTTACGTGTGGAAGTACATCCAGCTTGCCACGTGTTTACCTACTACTTGTTACAAATAGGAAACTTTGACTTCTTCTTTCTGTCAACTCCAATCAATGTTTGCCACCTCACTCTCACCTCGCGTCCCCATTCTTATTATCCTGAAGTCGCACTTTTCTCTCTCCGTCTCTCTGCTCTGTGTGGCTTGCAGGAAGTTTAGCGCTGAATCGATCACTACAAGCCTTTTCAAGTAAGCAAAAATTATTTTCAAAGTTTCGATCTTTTATTTACTTTCTTGAAAATTAGACTTTGACTTTTTTTATTAATTTTAAAATTGGATTATGAGTTATATAAATCGAGGAGTGATATATAATGGGATTTGAGTATGGATTATGGAATTAAGGGCTGTGTAGACTGTGGGAAATCAAGGAAAGTGATAAAGTTTGAGTCTTTATGATGAAAGTTTAGATTTTTTGTCATAAAGGGTTGATTTTAGTTCTGGCAATGTTTTATTTGGTTTATTGTGATATTGATAGCTATTAGAATTGTGGGTTTAGGGTTTTAATGTGTTTGAATATGGGGTTTCTTTGGCTGCTGAGAAATTGTGTGGACAAAGGAGAAACACTTTTTATGTAATGAGAAAAGTTCATCAGTTACCAGAAGTTAGAGACTAGTTTTGAATGATTGAATTTTAGTGTTGTTATGTGTGTTTTCATGTTCCCTCTTGTTTTTCTGTGGAAAGTTTGAATTTCAGTTTTTCCGGTTTTCAACCTGATTGTCTAGTTATGCTTACCTTGTGAAGAAACATTGTGCATATGTATCAAAAGTTGTGGAGGATACCAAGAGCAGAACGAAGATAGATCAATTTCCAGACAACAATTTCATTTTAAACCTTTTTCATAAAGATTGAGAAATAACTAATTGACAAATACGGGTGCCAACTAACTCTATAAATGGTTAGAGTCTAGTGAGCTGTGTAGTAGGTTTGAATTGAATCTTAAGTTCTATTTGTCATACACTTGAGACCGAATCTTTAGTTGTACTATAGACCTTCACTAATTGAATTATGTGGAGTGTTGACCTTAGTTGTGATGATTGATTCATATGGATAGCATGTGTATACTCTATGATGGATACTTTGCGATTTTAATACATGCATAGTTGTGGTACGTAGTCTAGGTGAGTTTTCTTTGCAAATAGAGCTGGATCAATTCATTGCGTGTAAAGACTCAAAGTTTTTATGAACTAGTCTTACAATGAATTGATTCTGGTTGCTACTTTTACTCCTTTCGTAGCTTATTCTTAGTTAATCAGAATTTGCTTGTTTATGTTAAATTTTATTGGAATTTCATCTAAAACTGGTTGCTTTGTTTTTCTAAGGCTAAACAAACTTAGCTTTTGTTTTTAAATCTTTAGTTCTTTGTAGTGTGTAACGATGCTTAGCTCTTCTTTCTAAAACAGTGGTTTCCTTTTATAGCAATGACTCTGTAGATTGATTTAGAAAACTAGGAACTGCATAATGATATGGTTATTGTACATGCACAATGCCTTTTGTGGCTGCCTTAGCCCCACCACTGCTTTTGGAAATGAGTTAGTTTCATTAGTTCCAATGTCGTTTGTTTTACCTTATCTCTCCAACCATAATCTTTGAACATATTGTTTGGAGTCCCTCTTGCAAGTACAACAAAAGAGACCCTTTTTGTGAGAGAGATGCAATGAGTAACAAAAATGTGGTTAATGATATGATAATACATATGCTATTGCAGACAATTAGAAACCTATTTTTTTCCCCAATAGTAGTAGGGAGAGCCAAGGCGGTTTTAAAACCCATTTGTGCACATATATTAGTCCATAATTATATAGCTGTTCATTTTCCCAAGCCATTTGTTTTCTTGTGACTCGAAGACTGCATAGGCAAAAATAATAGTTTAGGAAAGAAGAGCTATGCAAAGTTATGATTGTGAAGCAGTGAGACCTAAGTTTGTTTAGTTTTATAAGAACTAGAGGTACTAATTTATAGACAAAATTTCAATAAAATGTAACTATACTTACCATATTCTAACTAAATTAACTAAGAATATGCTGTAGAAAATAGACATTAATGAACAAAATTGATTCTTTATAAGATCATTTGATAACCATTTACCTGAAAACACAGCCCATCTCTCTCTTTTCAAAGAAAAGCACATATACACCAGGTAATGGCATGCATGCATGTGTTACAACTGGAAAAGGTTCCGCAGCATTTATGCCTGACTAAATCAGAATGGCCAAGGCAAACACTTATCAGCCAAAGGCCATGTGGGTTATGTTATGAGGAATGATTGCTAGGCTTTGTTGTTTTATGCCATTTGTGCAATCCTTTTGTTTACCAAGCTGAGAGAAATGCAAGAGTTTTAAGATTTAGTTCTTCCATGGTTATTCTGAAATAAAAGAAATCCGGTTAAAGTTTGATGCCCTGTTATGTAGCCTCATTGAATAACCAGTTCTTTAAGAACATTATGGCTAAAGACTGAACCCTCAACCTTTTCTTCTGTCTTCAAAGATATTTATCCCATGTCTTCTCTGATAAGACGTCATGTGGGCTTGGAAGTCATTGAAACAATTGATGTTGTTTCTACAGTGGACTTCATCGTTGATGGTGATGCTAATGGTGATGTACCGGGAAATGCAGTTGTGGACGTTGCTAGGGCTGGTGATGAAAATGAGATTTTTGAAAATTCTGCTGAAGAAGAATTTGAACAGTATGAAGATCGTAAAATGGATAAAGAGACTTTGGATATAGATAAAATAACAGATGGAGCTCCAGCTATGTCAATGATTACTGCAGATGAGCCATTCTTGGGACAGGAGTTTGATTCTGAAGCAGCTGCGCATGCTTTTTACAATGCTTATGCTACACGCATAGGATTTGTCATCCGTGTAAGCAAACTTTCTCGATCAAGACGTGATGGATCTGCTATTGGTCGGGCACTTGTTTGCAATAAAGAGGGCTTCAGAATGCCTGACAAGCGTGAAAAGATTGTTAGACAAAGAGCGGAAACAAGGGTTGGCTGCAGGGCAATGATTTTGGTGAGAAAAATAAGTTCTGGTAAATGGGTCGTTACAAAGTTTGTGAAGGATCATACTCATACCTTGACCCCTGGCAAAGGTCGAAGGGATTGCATTTATGAACAATATCCGGTTAGTTCTTGTGTTCCTATCGGTAAACTACTATTAGTATTCATGGTTTGAGCTTTGACATCATAAATTATTAAATTCTAAGAGTCACATTGGCCAAGTTAATCACTGGGGTCCCAAAGTTTTGTAATGAGGTCCATAAGGATTAAATTAATATCATCTCAGGAACTTAAAGAACCTATAAACCTATATTTTTGCTTTCTTTTGATCCAAAGAACAGGCAACTAAGAGGTATGCATTCTTTTCAAATGCTATTGAACTTAGGATGCAATATATTCACGCTAACAAACTGTGCTTGTGCACATGTCAAAGGCAGAAAAATCTCTATGATGCACTTGCAAGAGTCTTCCTGTAATTTATTTTTGGCTTGATTTTGCACGGCAACATGCATTTTAATGCTTTTTTTTTCGTTTCTTTTGCAGAATGAACACGACAAGATTAGGGAACTATCACAGCAGCTGGCCATAGAGAAAAAGAGATCCGCGACCTATAAAAGGCATCTGGAATTAATTTTTGAGCACATTGAGGAACATAACGAGAGTCTATCAAAGAAGATCCAACATATTGTAGATAGTGTTAGGGACATGGAAAACAAAGAGCAGCTTAGTCAGACATAGTTCCAGCATTATTTTTACCGTAGTACAAAGTCCAGAATTGGTGTACAAAATGCTGTTGGGTGTAAAGCATACATAGATATCAGAAGCTGACCTTGCTCTAGTGTTGAGTTTCAGGTGTCTAGCTATCTTGTACAGTCTATAAAAGGCATTGGCATTGCCATAGATAGCTGAAAATTAATTCTTGTTTATTTTATGGGGAAGCCCGTTTCGAGGCTGGTGTGTTCTGTATATAGCATATAAATGAATTTTTATTTTTTGTTGATTATTATGATCATTAAATCCATTTTATTGATTTTGGCTGGGTCATTAGGAAAAGCCGGATCAATATTTTTTTATTGAAACATCCTTGTTTTTTTTTTTTTTTAAATCCTTAGTTTTGAACTGGGTTTGATTGAGTTAACTAGATCTTTAGCAACTTGTGGAGTTATTTGATTTCGGCCAGTCAATATTAAAATTAGTTCAAAGTAAAAAACCTAAAACCCCCCAAAAAAATATAAAAGGTAGAAACAATAATTTAGTCTTTATAAATTCAGCAAATTTCACTTCAACTTCAGTTTTAATTTTACAATACTAACTTTATAGCAATTAAAAAGTTCTAATGTGATCCTTGTCCATTGAATAGCTAAAAACATCGAAAGCAATTGTCCATTCTTTTTCACCATTTTCTTCTTTAGAATTAATTTGGGTTAAATCCGGGTTGATAAACCCGCGACGCTGGCGGATCTGATAACCATGATCTATTTAACAGTCGAGGGGCATGCTGGCAGGTTTCGAGAATCATAGTTAACATTGGGAAATTCCAAACTGCAGGGATTGATGTGGAACATTTCTAGATATATAAGGGCTAAAGTATAGTTAACGCAATAAGAAACAACAATCCCTACTGTCTGTCTTCCTTGCAGTAACTGACCGTTAACCTCAGCTTCCAGCTCCCAGGCTCAGCCGCCACAGGTAAAGCTCCAAACTTTGCAATTACTTTTAACAATTCTCCACTCTTTCTCTCTCTCACACACAAATTCTGTATATGCACATAACCCTTCACATTAATTGTTTGTTAAGGCAATACATAGCATAAAGTTTGATCTTTTTATTAAATTCACAGGTTCCATTTTGATATTTTGTTCTAAAAATGAAGAGAATGACAGAACTATGATTTGAAGGTTCCGCAAACAAGATAGGAGTTGGGGTTGTTGCATTAGATGGTACAAATTTGTCAAATCCAAGACATACTTATATAACCCCACCTGGTCAAGGTTTTTTGCCAAGAGCACAGCCCAACATCATTTGCAACATGTTTTACCACTTGTAAAATCTGCTTTAGAGACTGCGGGAATTACCTCAGATGAAATTGACTGTCTTTGTTACACTAAAGGTCCTGGTATGGGAGCACCTTTACAAGTGTCTGCTGTCGTTGTTAGAGTTCTTTCACAGTTATGGAAGAAACCAATTGTTGCAGTTAATCATTGTGTTGCACATATTGAGATGGGTAGGATTGTTACTGGGGCGGATGATCCTGTTGTTTTGTACGTCAGTGGTGAAGTTATTGCTTATAGTGAAGGACGGTATCGGATTTTTGGTGAGACTATTGATATTGCTGTTGGGAATTTTTTGGACCGGTTCGCTAGAGTCCTGCAGCTGTCTAATGATCCAGCTCCTGGATATAACATTGAGCAGGTATTTTGATATTAGTGAGTTCTTTGAGGTTTCTGTTACCTTAAGTCTTGCTTTGCTTTATTTATTTGGATTCTGTTTGCTATTGATCCTTATGTGCGTTGAAACTGATAAAAACTTAACCATGTTTGGGTTTTCGAGTTTAGTGTTTAATTGAAGTCTTTCATTTTTTTTCGTCAACTGATATTCTCATTCTTGTACTGAAAAAAAAATTCCATCTTCAATCCATCCCACGCTTGCGATTTTGAACCTTGGTTGTGAATGCATAGATAACAGGAAAACTCGTCAGCTCAACTGTGTTTTAGTTATGTTTCTTGAATTCAAGCTTGATTGTCATATTGCACTCTTTGGTAGCCTTTTCATGCTCTAATAATATGAAGCAATTAAAACATTATCAAGAGGATCCTGAGGTTATTGGATTCATCTTCTATGGTTTTATGTTTCAAACAATCAAATCCTGTCATTTTAATTTCTATTTTATTGGCTTATTATTCTTTCTTCTTCCACTGTTATTCTCACTTCTCAGTGAAGGTTTTTGGAAGATTCATATCTCAACATTATCAGTTATGGCTTTGGATGCCTGTGTGAACCTAAGGTTCTTAATACTAATGAACTACTTTCCATGCTCAAAACTTGAATTATGTCCCAAAGTGTGTCAATATTCACTTCCATAATGTTGTCATAACCAGCTTGCTAAGAAAGGAGAGCAATTTATAGACATTCCTTATGTTGTCAAAGGGATGGATGGTTTCTTTTAGTGGAATATTGAGCTTTATCGAAGCCACTACAGAGGAGAAGCTTAAAAATAATGAGTGCACTCCTGCAGACTTGTGCTATTCCCTCCAGGTAAACTACGTTTTCTTCTTCGCTACTAGTTGCCTAAGTACACAAATCTTGTCTTAATGTATTTGTTGTTAATAGGAGAAATCACTTGTGGTAGCTTTAGAATACTCAGAGGAGATAAAACATACGATTTTATTACAAAATAAGTTTACAAATTACAAAACTCACAATCTTAATACACACTCACTTTTCCCTCCTGTGTTTTTGAGATTATGTATTGAGATTGCGAGTTTTATAATTTGTAAATTGTTTTATAATAAAACCGTAAATTTTATCTCCTCTTCGTATTCTAAAACCACATCCAGTGATTTCTTCCACCAACCAAAAGCCAGGATTTTAGTTCAAGACTTGCTATCCCAGATCCATCATGCGGAACCTAGCTCCAGGTTTAAAGAAAGTTGGGGCAGCTGCATTTGGATTGGTGAAAGACAAGTCTCATGCAGCACTTGGATGAGTGAAAGACAAGTTTCATGCAGCACTGGATGGGTGAAACATGGAATCCATTGGCTGATTAAACTAGTGAAAGAGGTTTATAACAAAGTCAAGGGATTTTTCAGTGCTGCCAAAGAAGCAGGGAGGAAGAAGGCCAAACAGTTGAACCTCAATATCCTTTCGGTAAATGAAGGGCTTCTCGACAAGGTTTTTGAGCGGCTGATCATTTCAATAGTTTATGCGCTCGAGTTCGTCGTTGTATTCAATATCGTTTCGCGTATCTGGAAATTCACGAGAAACCCTTGATGGGTTTGGATAGCTGAACTTCCAAGAATTTCCTTTCATGGAGGATGAAAGCCAGCCACCTTTTTATTTCTGCTGTTTAATTTTTCTTTAAATAGCTGTGTTTTGATGACCAATAAATGCCTTTTGCTCTCGGGGGATCGCCAGTGATTCTACTAAAGCCTGTTTTATTTCTGCTGTTTCGCGTCTCTGGAAACAAACACTCTCGTCTGACCGTCCGTCCAGACAATTTACACAAATGAGCCATCTCCGGCTATGCATTTGCTGTTCTTGTCAAAACACATTGAGAAGGTGCCTGCCAATGAAGAATATTTCTAGTACTAAATCCAAGCTCAATGCCACCCGCCAACATGATTCTTAATTTCCAATTGAACCAGCTAATTCGATTTAGATTTTAGAACATTTACTCATTAAATACCTAAATTAAAAAAAAAAAAAGGTGCAAGCCCAGATGGCCTTGGGGCTTTTTATTTTTATTTTTAAAAGAGTTGGAAGACATTCTTTTTTTTTAAAAAAAAAATAGATGATGCATTTACTCGAATTTGGATATTATAATGACTAAAAAATTAAAAGACTATTTTTTAGCATAATAATCTATTTTTTTTTATTTATTTTCATCTAAAACTACATTAAAAAATCTTTAGAACATAAAAAAATTATTTATCAACCCAAAAAAAATTTAAAAATACAAAATCAAACCGATGAAATTTATTCTTTCTCGATCATAATCTATTTTTTTAGAATAGTTCAAAAACATATATGTGTGTGTGTGTGTATTTGGGATGTGGTCAGTTGCATGTTCTTTTCACTGTAATCTCGTTATATTTTCTCTTGTATTTGGTAACTGAAAAATAAATAAATTAGTTTTTTGAACTAAAACTAAAATTTTAAAAACTATAAAGAACAAGGAAAAAAAGTTGAAAGAAAATGGATGGACTAAAAACTATTTTTTTCACGTGAAATTGAGATTGTTCATGGAATTTTTCTTTATTTTACATTTTGAAACCCTGTTGTTAGAATCTTTCTTTCCTTAAAATTTTTTAGAAATTGGTAACACAAGCTACAATTGAAAAAAAAAATAAATGATGACAGAGTTTGAAAAAAGACTTATGAGTTATTATGAATTTTTTAGTGAAATGCTTAGACCTTTCACCCATGTATATTTTGTATTGTAATTGCAATGTAACGAGACAACTGAAAGCAAATTAACACACTGGTTCTTGTTTTTGAAATTTCATATTTATTTTGACAATTCAAAAGCTAATTAAAATGAGACCAAGGTGAAGTCTTCTCTGCTGGGTTGATAATTACTTGGAGAAATTCTGTCTAAAATTCACCCTTTTTTTCCTCTCTACATATCCACTTGGATGAAGATTAATGTGTATATTGGGCTTATGAGTTTTCTCTATAGATTTAAAGCACTTAGTAAGTTTACTCGTACCATGCACCTTATCAAGAAATTTCAAAGGGGAAAGAGAACTTGGAACTTTGTTTTTTGTGACTGATTAAGGCCACCTTTTCGTATTTCAAGAGGACTCCCAAGTCCTGATTTAATACATCAATCCCTGTATAAATCTTCCATACGTACGTGAGTGATCTCCTGCCTGCCGAAAACCAAAATCTTAATTCAAGACTTATTGTCCCATCTCCTTCATGGGGATCATAGCTTCAGGCTTAAAGAAAGTAGGTGAAGCACTTGGATGGGTGTTAGACAAGTTTCTTGCAGCACTTGGATGGGTGAAAGACTAAGATTGGAGCTTTTCTCAGTTTCCTTTTTTCTAAGTTTCGTACAGCAGGAAAAGAAAATCCAGGAAAGCGGGATGCTCCACGTGATGCTGGCTCTTCTTCAGGAAAAGACGCTGGAAAAGAAAATCCAGGAAAGCGTGATGCTCCAGGTGATGGTGATGCTGAAAAAATGCTTCGTAGCCTACTTGATCATCTCTTGGAAGGAAAGTGTGAGGCTCCAGGGGACGCTGGTTCCTTCTCAGGAAAAGAGGCTGGAAATGAAAACGCAGGAAAGCGTGATGCCACAGGTGATGCTGATGCTGAAAAACTGCTTCGTAGCCTACTTGATCCTCTCCTCGCAATAAAATGTGTGGCTGCAGGTGATGTTGAACAACAGCTTCGTTGCCTCGGTGATCTTTTCTTGGCAGCGGTCCCTTCACAATTTGATGTTAAGGCCTCTTAAAGTGAATTTGTCGTACAAGAAGCTGCAATATAGCTTCTGTTTCAAGAATTTGGCTGTGGAGAATAACAGGGAAGCTGCTATGTATGTTGGCTTTTCTTGTTATGAAATCAATTTGTAGAAAGCTTTCAGCTTACTGTTTTGCTTATCTCTTCAGTTAATCTTTAAAATCCGATTAAATTCAATTATGCAAGAAAAATCCCAAATTCTCAACGTTAAAAGATCTCAAGCAACAACTAATTAACGATTGAACTAAACCAATCTAGTTAATTAAAATTAAAATCAAGTAAAATATTAATTTAACCTAACCAGAAAAAAAATTAAAAAATAACAACACGAAAATAAAATAAATTCCAAAACAATAAACTTTCAATATACTATGTTTCCTATATTATTTTTCCTACATAATTGAAAAGCATTGAAAAAAAAAACCCTCAACTTAATTGGCATCGTCTTCATTCCTTGTAAAATAACTACTACCAAGTGAATTAACTAAATAAAAATCATTATCTAAATGGTTAATGTTTCATTAATAAACCAATTAATTATTATTAAAAAAAAATAAGAACACCACCAAGACTCTTGAGAATACATTAATAACTAAATTAGTGGACATTTTTTATTAAGCTAAACTCGAAAATCCGAGTCACTAAATTGATATGATAAATTTTTAAACAGTTTAATAATAATAATAATTTAATAAAAAATGAAATAAATATATAACTAATGCAAGGTGATGGTTTTAGCGTTTGAGAGTGCAATTAATGAAATATATATAACTCAGGAGTTCATTTAACCAAAAAAACTTAAGAGTTCATTAAATCATGTATAAACATGACCTTAATTACTAGTTCATTTATTGAATTTTAACTTCTTTATTAATTAAATATTTTTCACCTGATTAATTTGATTTCTTTTTCCCCAGTAAAATGTTACAACATTAATTTGTGCATGGTGATAGCCCAAATTCATTAGATGGAAGACATCGTCCCACCTTAAACTCTTGCACTTTTAGGAGTTTTGTTCTTTAAAAGCTGTCCATGTAAGAGAGACAAAAGCAGCCCTCCAAGCTATTTTAGACTCTCGATTTCTTGCTGATATATATGGGATATTGGTATCATCAGAGGGACTAAATTGATTGAAAACAAAAGTTGGGTTTTGGCCACCATGCAAAACCCTTAGCCCTACGATCTCAATTTCTTTGTTTCACAACCATATTGTAACCAAAAAAACAGTATACAAGAGGGAAAACAAGTACATATTTCACAAGTATATTGATCATAGCATCAATATCTCAAAGATCTTAAGAGGGAAAAAAGCAACCATTCAAAGTCTGGGAGAAAAAAATCCTTGACTATATAAAAGAGCAAGTACCTTAGACGTGCAGCATCAGCATCATCTCTCTCTTACCTCTCTCCTGCCTCTGAATCCACATTTAAATCTAATCAATACCTTTTTCTTCTGGTTTCATGTCTATGTCCTTCTCAAACCTTGTAAAACTTGACCCCGTAGACTCTGTAGAAAGGTGAAGGAATTGAGTGAGAGGATGGTCAAGGAAAACAACAAAAATCCTTTGCAGCTGAAGTCAATAAATCACATCTCAATTGTTTGTAGATCACTAGAGAAATCTCTTGATTTCTACCAAAACGTTCTTGGGTTCTTTCCTGTAAGGAGACCTAGCTCATTGAACTTTGATGGTGCATGGTACATACATTGTAGTATACGTTCTTGAGTTCTCTTTCTTTCTTTGTTTTAATTTGGCCTCCATATATACATATATATAGTCCTGATCAAATCATTTCCTGTTCTTGATTTGACGTGCGCTTACTCAGGTTGTTCAGCTCTTACGGCATTGGCATACATCTGTTGCAATCTGAGGACCCTGAAAACATGCCCAAGATCACCAAGATTAATCCCAAGGACAACCACTTCTCTTTCCAAGTATCTCTAGATCTGTAGCTCTCTCCCTTTCTCTGCACGTGCATGAATACATGTACAAATACATTGGATTTAGAATTAAAGTGTATTGCATGATCGGTGTTTTACTTTCTTCGAACAGATGATTCGAGATATTTAATCAATTTATATAGCGTTTAATTCCTATCCCGGAAGAAAAATCAAAGAACATATTTATGCATTAATGATCTTTTACCAGGCTGAATTAAGAATCTTTTTCCCTTCTGGCTACAGTGTGGGAGCATGGCAATGGTGGAGAAAAAACTGGAGGAGATGGAGATAAAGTACGTAAAGACAAGAGTAGAGGAAGATGGAATGGAGGTTGATCAATTGTTTTTCCATGATCCAGATGGAATGATGATAGAAATTTGCAACTGCGATAACCTTCCTGTTATCCCACTAGCCCATGATGTTGTGTTTTCTTGCTCATTTAATTACAAATTGTAAAATCTAAAATCAAATTGCAGAATCCTACAATATCTCTGCGATATATTTATATATAACCTATTAAACTTATTAATTCATACATAAATATTTTATAACTTCAGCTCATTTATGGAATATATTAACTTCTTTATTAATCTATATATCTTATTTTGATTTTCACTTGATTAAATTTAGTTTACTCATGTGATATTAACTACTTTGTTAAGTTATCTCATCTTAACTTTCATGTATAATTAAATAAGCTTTTTAATATTAAAATGTTACAATAGTTATAAATTTTTATCATTCATTGAATCTCCACATGCAATATTTGTCTATATAGCTTACGGATAAATAAGTTCTATGTATTTTCTTTTTACCAATCTTTAACATGTGGTATGTAAGGTTATGTAATCGAATTACAGAAGTACAAAAATCTTAATAAAATCAATAATAATAGGATAGAACTTTTTTATTTTATTTTATTTTAGTGAATGACTGATACCTGGGATTAAATTTTCCATAATTAGTCTATTTACGTGTTATTATTATTGTTCATTTATAACCTCTCAGACTGAGATATAAAATATAATTGGGCCAGTAAAATCCCAGAAATTTTTCAAAGGAGCGATGAAAGCAGTCTTTTCAAAGGACTTGCAGCAGTGCGGTAACTTCTGTTTTTTATTGCTTTTAAAACACAATACAACCTGAAATCACATGGATTACAAATTAGAACTAGAACAATACAACCTGAACTCAAATGGATTACAAATTGGAAATAGAACAATATCCTATAGCTACATTTGCAATTGCTACGCCAGTTTCTGCTTTAATTTGATGAAGTCAAAACTGAGAAAACAGCAGTGAAAATGTTTGTACAAGTTGAAGAATTAATAGTTTGGCTGTTTAAAAATATATTTTAAAATATGGCTGTAATTGTTTTTTAAAATATTTTTTATTTAAAAATATATCAAAATATCTATGCTGCATAAGCTCCTGCTTGATAGGCTCAAATTCTTTTGGATTTTCTACTACATTTTTAAATTTCTTGGATAGCTTCTCACTGTGATCTTCAACGATTTTTATAAATGCAGTTATCTGTTCTTGGTATGTAGCACATAACCGCTTCTTATTTCTCAATTCAGCGGTTAGTTCTTGAATGTTCTTGTCTTTTGCATCCTACAAAGTATGATAAAAACACAATCCAGATCACGTCTGATATGCAGAAATTATCCTTGCACTCCTCAATGCATGAGAAATCTTCCTCCCAAGATCATATTGACTACGTCCCAGTTCATTCATTAGTCTGGTTTCTTGAATAGCATGTGATGAGGGCCAAATAAAGAATAGAAAAGGCAAAAGTTTTCTTCAAGGATTTAAATATTTTCCTAAAGAGCTTATTTTAATTTGCAGAGAGAATAAGGCTACAGAATCACGTGTCAAAGACGTATATAGATGGTAAAGCAAGGAAGCAGCAAGTCATGATTTAATGACAGTGAAAACTCACCATTGCTTGACGTGCTTCACGTGGAGCTACTATGGTGGATGATTATGGTCCTTTACAAATTTCGTTACCACCCATTTTCCAGACTTTTCAAACTTAAAATGAACCATTGCCTTGCATCCTTCTCTAGCACTCATGCGTGAATTTCGAACATTTCCAGATTTCCCTCGAATGCTTATGCAATAACCCTCCTTATTACACCCAAGTCGCCTGGCAAGAATCCTCCCATCTCTTTCAGAATGACGACAAGACATTACTCGCATTACAAACCCTATCTGCCGGGCATATTCATCATAGAACACCTTCGAAGCATCTTCTGACTCAAACTCCATGCCCTTATGTGGTTCTACAACCGTATCTTTTCCAACATTCTCAACCATTTCTTTTCCAACAGAGCTCTCTACTATATCAATTCCCTCATCTATATCCACTGCCACACAACAACACCATTCACCATTGCCTTTTAAACATTTGTTCATCTATTAAAATTAAGCTCAAAAGTTGACGAGAACAGACCAAAAATGGCATAGCTCACTCTTCTCTGTAGCAGCTAAAACCAAGTTAAGAAAAAACTAAACTTTCCACCAAACAAAACCCAACTTTTCATGTCAAGAACATAATTCAACAGTAAACAAAACAACAAACAACATTGACAACAACTGCTTCATTTCCTCTTGTTTTCCCTGTCTTTCACTTTCCTCTCATTTCTCAGAAGCCAATCAGACCATATATCAAAACCACATCGAGAAGCCACAAAATTCAAACTTCCTCTTCTCAAATCATAACCCACTAACAAAATGAAAAAAAATAAAATAGAAGGCAGCTTTATAGCATTAAGCAATAAAAGTGAACCATAACTTGCCATAAAAAATCCAAACTTTTTGTATGATTGAATGAATTAAGAGTAAATTAAAACAGACACAGATAGAGGAAGATTATAACTTACTTGATGCAGCAAAGATCAGAGAGATCCAGAATTAAGAGAGGGCATTAGAAGGTAATTTTGAAGAGTTTTGAGAGGTATTTTTGGGTTTTGGAGAGTAGGGATAAGATGGATCCGAGTCTAGTGAGAGATGATTGTGAAACTAAGTGTTTTGATGCCACCAGACAACATAAATTTATTTGACATGTCATTCCTTTTCTTTTTATTTTATTTCGGGAAAACAAAAAAATAAGACATTCTTAAAAAATAAAACTTAAATTATTATTATTATTATATCTTCCTAACAAGCAAAGCAGCACACAGTAACAACAACAAAAACCCAGCTTAAAAATCAAGAAATCTATGGTAGGTTTGTTTATTGAATTTATTTTTTAGGAAATTATTTTTTATATTTATTTATTATTAAAAAAGGTTAGTTAACAAAAAATATTTTTCAGTTAAAAAAATTGATTTTATTTTTAAGAAAGTGTTTTCCTGAAAAATTTGGAAGGAAAATACTTTTCAGAAATAATGAAAAATTTAGAAATATCATATTATTTACTGATTATATCAAATTTGATCCTCAAACTTTTAATTGCTATATATATATATATATTGTTTTGAATATTTATTTTTTAATTTTAATTTTTAAAATTTAATTTTTATATTAACTTTGGTCTCATTTTTTTAATTGTTATTTTTTTTTCTTATTATTTTTTTATTGAAATTTTTTATCTATCAAATTTGATCCTCATTCTTTTGATTGTTACTTATTTTATTTGAAATAATTTATGAAATGTTAATTATTATTATTTTAATTTCTTCATCTTTTATTTTTTTTAGATTTGATCTCTATTATTTTGATTATTATTTATTTTATTTGAGATAATTTATGAAATTATATTTTTTTTTCAATTTCATTCTCATTCAACCTTTTAATTTGTAAATTTTTTTTCTTATTATTTTAATAAAATTAAAAAAATAAAACATTAATAAGTTATTTTTCAGTTTATTTTCCATAATATAACCAAATACAAAAAAGTATTTTCCAGTTCATTTTTTATAATATTATCAAATATCAAAAAATAATTTACTTTTTAAAAATTCATTTTATAAAAAAAAGCAACTTTTCTGGAAACAAACAAGCATTATCTCTTTACACTTTTTTGTTTGGTCCCTGGGAAAATTGAGCAAAGAAAGCCCTTTTCTCTTCTGTTTAGAACTTTATATCTGTCGAGCTCCATTTAAGTGCTAAGCCTGTTAAACTAGAGATTAAATTTGTGTTTTTTTGGTCTTTCTGTGTGAATTGAACTTAAAGTTGTGATCTTTGTGCTGTCATTGATAATTTATTCTATATTTACTGTGAACCCAGTCGTGAAGATGCAAGTTTCTATTGTTTTGTTCTCTAGTGCATTTAACATACAGTAATTTACCAGTAGCTTATATCGATATGGGAAGTAGCCCTTTGGTTGATCTTTTAGGCCATGTTCAGGGTTTCGTTTGTTGTCATAATATGAAAGATACAGGGAGATGAGATTGTGAAGTCAGGTGCCATTTTTTGGTGCAAACTGAAAGTTTTGTAAGTCAAATACAAATGTTAGATTTGGCGTAATTAAAATCGCCAATTCAGTATAGGATTTAACTTAGTGCTGTCTTGGGTCCTAGCCATGTGTGCGAGTGAATTATGCATGCGGTGATTTGGTGGCACACTGTGCATGATTCGCCTAAATGGCTAGAATTCTAGGCTGCATGAGCATAGCCCAGGATGTTCTAAAGGGTGGTTGGGACTTTATTGGAATCCCCACCCCACCTCCAAGTTCCTGCTTATTTGTAACTGGAATTGAGTATCAAATATGCTTCCATGAAGATTTAGAATGCTCGTGGTTAACGTTTGTATGCCTAAACAATTTGTTTTTGGTGATTATGAATATTGAAATTTTTTTAAAAGGGGTCAAAACATGAAACCCTCTGATTTATTCATGGTTTGATGTCAGCTAAATGAACATAGCTCTTTAAAGCAATTTTAGAATCAATAACCACGCCAATCTTTAGAATATGTATAGCGTTTATTCGGCAGCGGTTCAAGGTTTAAGGACAACCACTGCCGATTTCTATTGGCCAATTCGATGCACCACAAGTACAAATATGTACAAGGGTAGTGAGGGTGTGTGCATCACAAGGTATGCAAGAAACACAGACGACTCTGCATTAAACAAATTGAAGGAACTTACTGTTGTTGTTCGACCTTCTTCTTTTCTTTTTTTTTTTTGATTTATGTGGGGGTGTCCGGGTCAGCTTACGCGCACCACGACTAATCCCCACGACCCACTGAACATCCTGCAAACTCAGTGAGCAGGTAAGACACCACGGGGATGACAGGCGTGCATGGTAAGGCTCGAACCTAGTTGCGGAGGAGCCCCTCCCTCATGAACTTTGTCACCACCCATTTCTCTAGCTTTTCTCTCTTCACCAATATCATTGCCATACAGAGCTCCCGTTTGCCTTATCTTTTTCTAATTTTAACTTGCCCTGTCTTTTGGCTGCTGAGATTAAACCCTTCTTTATTACAAGCAAGTCGGCGAGATATAGCTGTTCCATCATGCTCAGACTTACGGGATGATACAATACGTGCAAGAAATCTTTCCCGTTTAGCATATTCATCATAGAAAACTCCGGCAGCATTTTCCGATTCAAATACCATACCTTCATATGGTTCTTGGCTTGTGTTGACTTCACAAACACCAGTTTCGCCTCCCACAATACTTTCTGTTGTCACAATTTTGATCTTCCACGAGGGTCTCAATCTCCACTGCAAGTCAATGTCACCAGTTACAATTTATGTTTAACATCACGAGATGAAAACCTATAAGCTGAAAACTGTAATAACTGCATAAAGGAGATAGCAGAGGCAGCAAACTGGCAAGTAGTCTCAAGATATGCATACCATAGAAAAGTAGAAAAGTTTGCACTTCCATGCCTATTTATTGCAACAACATGCTTCTTAACATCAAAGTGCTGATACATTGTGTATCAGAGTAATGCTAAGCTATAAAGTCCAATATACCTCTCATTTATTCTATAAATTCCTATATACCTCTCATTTATTCTTATACACATTGTCTTATCAGCAATAGCTGTTCGTGGATTGTATTGGTATTGCTGGTAGTTGTTACTATCTAAGTTCTAAACCAATTTTTGTTATCTTGTCATGATGAAAAGGATGAGAGAATTCGAGAGCTATCCTCCCAGTTGCATCATACGAACCGACAGTTAGCAGCATGCCGAGAACAGTTGCAAACATTTGTGACTTACATTGAGGAGCACACTATGTGCATGTTAAGAACACTCGAAGGTGTTGTTCAAAACATTAGAGAAGTTGAATCTGAAACCAGAAGCTGCTCCTAGGTTACTCATAGGACCTGGCATTACGTTGTAAATCTTGTACAAATTTCAACTCTTGTTAGTAGGTGAAGTTTCATCAAAATTCCTTCCATTTGTATAATCCTGTTGCAAATTATTTCGAGGCCTTGTAATCATCCGCTTGACCTAATCTCAGTTTTGTAAGTAAACTAATGATATTTCATGTATAATATTTGGCTGCGTTGATCAAGTAGCAGATATTACCTTAGATTACAGCTAGCTTTACTTGCAACCATGGATACCCTTGGCTCCCTTGCAGTCCCACACCAATTGTGAACGCAACAATCAAGGACTTGAAAGAGTACCAAGAAAACGTTGAGATTGGGTTTAAGGATGTTTTTACTTTTGGAACAATTAATTCAGACAATTCTTGTGAAAATGCCAATTGCCTAACCATCACAAAATTCTCGTGAGGAGTTGATAGCATTTGTTTATTGTGAGTATTGCATGAATTTATGTTTATATCTTTAATGTATTATCTAATATCCTTTCCCTTCTTCCATGGTATTACCTTTATTATATTTTTAGTAGATAATAATTGAGTCATTGGAGGAAATTAATAGATTAAAAATATGGATTGATTACTACTATATTATTATTCAATGGAATTGTGCAAAATTAAGTGGATTTTTATACTTTACTTTTGTTTTTTTGGTATTTCATATCTAATTTGCTAAAAAAAAAAAAAAAACACCAATCTTCTGATATTAATCATGATTAGCTCAAAAACATGGTGAAGATAAAATAATAAGGAATTGAAACAATAAAAATAGAAAAAAAAATTAACACAATCACATACTTGTAACCAACACAACTATCCAAAATAAACTTCTTTATTCTATTTGAAAGAGATTCATCACCGTCATTTTATTTTATTTTTAATAATAGCAAAATTAGTTTTTATATCTTCATTAACTAAAGTATAATGCACTAAGCTCTTTTGTTATTTTTACTAGCAAAGGATTTTCTATATTAAATATAGTTAATACTTTCTTGAATTGATTTTGTTTCATTAATTTCCTTGTTCTTTGCTACACACTTTTTGTGTTATTCCTTTAATCATATAACAAGATAGAGGCTTTTTTTTACAACATTTTACAAAAATATATTAATTTAAAGTCTTATATAAATTAAAATTTATTATTAAATAATATTACAAAATAAAATGAATTGATAGAGTTTTTTTTTTTAACAATGAAAATGACTTTGAGTAGTAAAAGCTTTTTCATAAAAGCTCAAGTATTAAAGATATAGTTATTAAATTTTATCTATTTTAGCATATCAATTTAATAATTCACCAATTTAGAGGTTAGTTGAGTTAGATTTTTTTTAAATTTTTTTAAAAAATAACTCCATTAAATTTTAATAATTTAGTAGATTGACTCAAGTTAAATCCAACTAGGTTAACTCTAAGAAATTTTTTATTAAAACAGAATTATTTTAATTTTATTCAAATTAATGTTATTTTATTTTTTAAAAAAAATTAAAATAATATTATTTTAAAATAGATTTAAGTTAACCTATTAATCCAT